CTAGAACCTGACGTAGTGTGAATATCTGATCTATACAACCACGTCCAGGTCGAAAACCGGCCTGGTTTTCTCTAATCTGCTCTTCACGAGCTTTGATTAGGCGTCGAAGTATTATTGAAGCTAACATTTTAGACACTATATTAGTCAAACTGATTCCTCTGTGATTGTCACAAGTGGACTTTTGTCCTTTCTTATAGACTGGCACAATCAGTGATTGAGACCAGTCAGATGGGATTACGTCCAGTTCCCAAATTCTACCTAAGACCTCAGTTAATCTCACTGCTAATACTGGACCACCATCCTTAAAAATCTCAGGAGTAAACCTGTCAGGGCCCGCTGCTCTCCCTCGTTTCAGATTCCCTATGGCTTTTTCAACTTCATAAAGAGTCGGAGGACCTACATTAACTTGCTATTCAGGTTGACTGGAGATCGTGGGAAACCGAAGTGTGGCTGAAGGCCAGTTGAACTGATCCCTAAAGTGTTCTGCCCATCGATCCAATCTCCTGGATTGAGAATGAATAATACGTCCATCTTTCTCTGAGATTGTTTCGCTAACGGTCGGGTTCCTAATTCCGGTTTCCTTAACGATTCTAAACAATTGTCTGCTATTACCTATTGCCGCTGCCTTTTCCATCTCTCTTGCTTTCGCTACCCACCACTGTTCGTGATCATTGCGTAGACTTCTTGCCAGCCTGCGCTTAAGCTGACTCCGCTCTTCATTATGTTCAGAGCCAGGTAGAATGAGTTTCCGAGCATCTATCAATGCGATAGATGCTGCTGAGATCCAGTGTTGCTCCCTAACCTTCTGGTTTACCTTACTAGCAGATATCACTGCTGTTTCCACAGCTTTTCGGATATCATTCCATGCTGCATCAGGGTGGGCATCACATACATGGACCAAGCAGCCGGGTCAGTAATGAGAATAATGCGGACTCGAATTGTTGCCCTCGGTCAGTCGTGACAGTCCACTAGGTACCTAGCGTTTGTGCGGTGATCGTGCACATAGAATAAACGGTCAATCTGGGGGGAAGGGCCGGCGAGTACGACCGCTTATACTCGTCGGCTTTGGAGTTTCCCGCCTTGTATGAGCACGGGGCTCGACAATGGAGGGCGCCAGACCCGAAGGACCGATGGAACCAGCGCCAGCCTTCACTCGCTTCCGAAGCTGCGTTTCGGCGTGGCACGGAAGATGCCCTGGTTGGGCGAGTGATGACGGCTTTGCGGGAACGTGAACGAGCTCGGGGGACGTAGGGTTGGGGTATGTTACGACGGTCTCGAAAATTAAGACGTGTGTGAACACACCTGCTCCTATCACCTTGAGCCGAGGAATTACCGGCGTCCATGTTTACTTTGGGACGTGCCGTTGAGGCAACTATATAGCTGTATCTGTTGCTAGTTCTCGCTAAAATTTTGTCTGCTATGAGGGCTACCTGATGAAGTGGTGCGTCCTCGAGCAGGTAGGATGTGAGCCGGTAATGACTCGAGCCACAATTCTTTGACTATTTCCCAGTCAGCTGTTCTTGGTCCTGCAAGAGGTTGTAGGTGCGTGAGGTGGTGGCTTGGTTTAGCATCACCCAGAGGGTGACGTGCTAACAATGTCCTCAATCGTTCCTCCCTCGATGGGAGGAAATGTCTGAGAATTGCCTCTGAGGCGATCGTAAGCATTAGGTACATTGGAATTGAGGACAACCTCACGTACAGCTACTATATGGTCCCCGGGTAGTGATTCGAGAGCGAAGGCGTACTTTTGCCTTTGGCTCGTAATGCGACGAGTCTCGAACTGAGACTCTAATGCAGCAAACCAAACCTCTGGGTCGTGGGGAATGAATGATACAGGTCGAAAGTGGATGGCCTGTACGTCTGAGTCTATGATATTAATACTATTCTTGTCGCTATCCGTCATGTCGTGTATATTAAATATTAAAAGATAATATGAAAATATACGACAGACGTGGATAGATAAACTATAGACTCACCGAATTGGCTTGTTTGGAAGATTTGACCAGAGGTTGAGGCGTGTTCCAGAACTTGGGTCACCAATTGTAGCGTGGTGTCGGGTCGAAATTGACTATGAACACCGCTACCAAGAAACACGTGCCAAGTAAATCAGAAGGCGAAGATGGAGCGTAACCAGATTTATTTGGTTGGCGATCTCGTGGTATCGAACGAATACCGAGACCGTGCCAAAAGGAGTACAAGTGGAATCAGCGGGCAAGAGTACGAACGTACGAGGTCACAATCCACGGAAAAGTAATGGAGTAGTAATATGACTGTCTTTAGTACATTTAAACAGACGAGCACAGTAAAGCAATCACTGGTACAATTGGTTATAATAATGATTGTTTCCATTAAATCAATCGCGTTCTCTTGGTAAAGGTAGGTCACTACAGAATAAAGAAAAGAAAACGAGAAGAGTGAATGATTGGCGTGGAAACGAAGTGAAAATGAATTGAGACGGTTGATTGACATTTTACAAATGAATCATTCACTGTATGGTTCTCAGATTTTTACTAAATGATTCTGTAAGTTTTTATTCAAATACATTCGGTTATTTACACTTGTGTTCTCGTTCACTACAGCTCTATGAAGTGTAATATTTTTTGACCTACCTTGAAAATAATATATTTATACATAGTTGCTGCGTTCTTATTTACATCAGCAGTGGCTTAATGGTTAGGATGCTCAACTTCCGGCTAGATTCGGAAGCCCACCCCTGCCTGTTTCAGTTTTAGTAACCGAGCAAGAGTGGCTCATATGTATGTACCTGGTGAATGAACATTGTGTTAAAAAGTCTGTATTAAAGGTATTTTTGATAAATACTGGCTGTTCAAATAATTTGTATCGAACTATATACAGACTTGGTTAGAGTAAGCCAATTTATTGTGGTATGCAAAATCAAACAGTGAATTTGTAATATATGAAAACAATATATCAAATATACTGTTTGCACATCTTCCTTGAATCGTCTCTTACAACTTTATCGGTCTTCCATTCCAGTTATTTCGATTACTCTTTGTTTCTCTTTCTTCTCAGTTTATTTTCTCCTTCTGTCCTTAAGAATTCTACTTTAGACTCCTGACACATACTACTCATATTTGTCTGTACATATCATACTCGTCCCTCTTTTAATAAGTCGTTCTAGCCGCTGTATCTCTTTCTCCGTCACAGTCTGTACCCCACTCTTCGTCGAGTTGTCAATCCTGCAGGCTCACTGACCATCATTACTCTGTCGACAATCTCATTCTGATTTCCGCCCAATTTTCCGGACGTTCCACCTCTCCTCTCTGTCAACAACGACAGCTACATCTAACTCTACCTTGTCAGATCATTACATACAATACTTAACTTTTCTCTAATTTTTTTATCGAGAACAAAAGCAAAAAAACGATGCATTTATAGTCTCTAGAATCAAACTCATTTGATCTTATCATCGTACATAGTTCATAAATGATTTGGATCAAAAATCAATCGTATTGTTATCTGTAAGTCACATTTAAAGTAAACACAATTGTATACCCAAAATAAAGATTCCTACTATGTTACAATCTACACAGAATACATACACAATCGAAACTATTGAAATATCTATAACAAATTACATTTGAATAATTCATTTCATTTAAATAGAGTGAATACATTTAGAAAATGTTCTTGATTTCAATCATAAGAACATAATAGTAAGATTATGTAATCAACAATCTAAATGAATTGATTCATTCAAACTGAATATAGAATGAGTTTAGTCCGTAGGTCAATAAATTTACACACACTAAAAGACATTTTAACAATGAGATTTATTATCATTTTAATGAAAAGAACCTTATTGCTACTTAGTCAAAAGATAAGTATATTTAAATTAAATTCGATCATAACTACATTAAGGGCCCCCAAATGCCACAGTACGGTCGAGAGTCAGCTCTGACTCTCCAAGTGCTCTCATATAGTCACGTGCGTACAATCAGTCAGCTTTCTCGCACCACGGGTGATGTTTACGAAATTGAGAGGACGAAAAGACCATGTTTGGTGTTTTAACCGGGCTGGTGGATATGGACGATTCACCTAGGAGAGTTGGAAAACCCTGACTCCAAACCAATAATCTTAAGGGAACAAATGGTGTATTAACCTATTACTGGTTACCGACTACCATAGGACTGCATCTCCTTACGATGCTCCACTGTCTTGTGGATCAGACCTCTTATTGTGAGCTTTATTTTGACCTATGAACTATTATCATAAGACTGACTATTCTTAAGTTATGCCCTGTCTATCAATTACTATCTCCCTCATCTACAGACACTTTTGGCCAAATACTGTACAAATGTTATTTTCTATTTTATGGTACGTTGTGATCTGTTTGATTGGCATATAAACTCAGTATGTTTGAAATATAAGGATTCATATTGCAGAGGCTCAGATTGGTGTTCTGGACTTAACTGGCTGTACTAGGCGGGAAGCAGGACCAATAAGGACTCTAGACTGCTCGCACGTGTTTTACGCGTTCACTACTCTCCAATTGGCGGTATCGTTGCGTTATCCAATATACAGGGCACACAGGTTCACAAGTTAAAACATCAATAAATATCAGGAATAAATTTATCACAAGAAGAACAACAAAGAAAAAACAAGTCAATACTAGAAAGAAAGTCAAGAAAATGAAAGTTTGATTATTATGCATGTTTGTTTTGTTTATATTTAATCCCATTGATAAATTGAAATAAAAGAGAATGAAAGAATCACTATGGAAGATTGATTACACTAGATGATAAACAGTAACACTAAACCCAGAATAATGAAGCCTGGTAACAACAGTAAATAATGATTGATTGAAAAATAAATGGATAAATATATATGTATGTTTCTTTGTTAATTGTTCATGACAAATCACTCACTTATTGATTAATTACATTGGATTAAGTTTCATTAGATCATTTGAAGGTAATTGAAAGGTGTTTTTTTAAAGTTTTTCTCATTACTGCTAATAATACTACTGCTATCCACTACTACTTTACTTTTACTCCAGTTGATTTCACATCAGTACTTTGAACTGAATCCAATTGTTTACCCAAATATTCCCTGTAATAAATAAAACAATTTTAGGAAATATGATGATATATATATCAGTCAGTCAGCAACAACGTAGAACTTCGTGCGTACGTATATCAGTTCAAGTTGCTATACCACATTAGCACAAAGACACAATTGTCGTTTCAAATCCCATAGTGGTAGAGGTAGTAAAAGTATAAGCAGTGATTGGAAACATTAGGGTTTGAAGATGTTATTCAAGGAGTATAATCCAGTGAAATAAATTTGGAAAGAGGAAAAAGGGACATGAAGAATTCAGAAGACTAGAATTTGGGAGAACACAAAGAATAGATGCAGCTGCGCCATTGCAAACGATTTTGAGCCATGTCATTCAAGGTCTCTAACCATCGGTTGTTATCGTCTCGCGGATCACAACCAAATAGTCTAGACCTACCAACATGGCTCAGTCTACGTGTCAGTGACTTCATAGATTTGTGAAATGTTTTGGTCTGACCGCCCCTAGCCTTCTTCCAACCTACTTCTACACCTTAAAACATTATATATATATATATATATATATATATATATATATATATATATATATATATATATATATATATATATATATATATATGCTTGTGGGAAATCAATTTTGGAATCCACTATGAAACATGATGGAGGGTGGCGCAAGATCATCGATTGATTTAATTTAGACATTAACATCGTTTGATGCCGACCCAGTGGTTTAAGGGTTAAGCATTCGCGTGCGAGACCGAAGGTCATTGGTCCGAGTCCTATGCACAGGATCATGGAGGAGTCCTACACTAGGATAAAACAGCCGTCCAGTGCTTCCAGGTTTTCAATGGTGGTCTAACATTGATCTCAATTAATACTTAACTACTATACATCTTGAATGCACTCTTACAGAATAACAATATTTGATTAATTATAAGCTTATACATGTATCATAATAAATAGTAATAAGTCAATATTTATGCATCAGTGCTTCGAGGTTTTCAATGTTTGTCTAGCATAGATTGACTCATGAATTTAACTGTCAAGATTATGTGCTCATAAAAAAGGAGACTCAGTAATTCTATATCTGGTTTCATCCGTGTGGTAGTGGGGTAAATACCATAATACTGAAGAGTACTATATTAGAATAAAACAGTTGTTTTATTGCCTCCACATCATTTTTAATGTCTTATAACGGATTATTTTATGAAATTAATGTTGAGAAAACCAATGACTAAAAGTCAGTCATCATCAAGTTATAGACTGGAACAGATGTCAGTCCAAGTTGCAGATTATCTTAACATGACGTGATAAAATTAACAAAGTAAACGGCAAAAGAGATTGGAACTATGTAACAGCAATGATAATGAGAAAGAATCGATATTGAGAATATGGTTCGAAAAGATAAAATGAAAACGTATGCATGAAGGAATACTGGGTTTCAAGATCAAAAGAAAGACAAGGAATGAATGTATCTGAACTGCAGTGAACGGTTCTGAGTGATATCACCCAATCTCCAAAAAACCGATCGTGATTAACGCACAGTTTCCCAAACAGGCAGTCCGAATCTACTAACAACGTTTAGACCAATAGTCAATGACTCCATAGACTGGTGTTCTGTCTGGTCAGTCATTCTAATTTATGGCTTAAAACAAGGCACATAGAAGTAAGAGAAATACGTAGTCTGCAAGTAATTTGCCATGGGTGTTTTCGTCATCTTTAATGGAGCAACTGAATAAGCAATGCCGAAATGAAAGTAAGCTTACTAGATATATACGGTAAATCTTTGACTGAGGTGGTTAGTTATATATGCCTAACCACCTCCTGTTACCTATACTTGCAATCTTGGCTAGTGTGGGAGCGAGTTTTAAAAAAGGTAAGAGCAGTCAAGTCAACATATGGCATTAGTGTACGAAGTTACTGGCCATGTTAGTGCACAATACTTAGTTAGGATTCGCACGGTTATCGTGACTAATAGTTGAAGACACTGTGTGAGACAATTCGGAATTAGTGCCAATAGTGCACAATGATGCACTCTTTCTTTGTCAAACTTTTTATTCCTGGAATCAATCCATTCATTTCGTATCGTATTCTTCTATATTTAGCTTCTTTGAAGATAATTAATACTACTATTATTTCAAGTATTTCCACCATTTCGTTTTGGTGATGTGCTATAGTTACCTGGACTGATCGACATTTATGTCAAGCATCATGTTGATGATGACTGATTGTTCATTTATGTTTTTTTCACACTAGTAATAGATTGACAAAACAAACACCTACACACACCATCGTCGTAAGTCCTACTGGGAAGCCTTTGATTTCTTCATTTTAACAAATAATAACATGATATTACATCACAAGATCGATAGGTTATGTATCAGTCTCAGGATGTCGGTCATGAGGTAACGTGTTCGCTTGAGAATTGAAAGTTTGAGGTTCGATCTGCGGGGGAGTTGTACACTACTGATATACTTCTAACTAGAATTAAACAGCTAAATGTCAGTTCATAACAAATATTGTATGAAATGTACACATATCTATCTACTTCTCTATATGCTTACCAATTATGTACCATTATCTTTTGTAATGAAACTAGTGCATTATAACGAACATTTGGATCATCATGCTGTAGTAAAGCCATCACTAACTGTTTACCGCCAAGTGTTTCAATTATTCTACAAGTGGAAAGAAAAAGAGGAACAAACAATACGAGATACATAAATGTTTAACATGAATACCAGTGAGGAAAAACATGAATTAATCAAGGAAATGGATGATTAGTCATTGGTAAAGAACGTAAATACTCCTAAAACAAACATGATGAAACGATTAATATCCTCCAGAGTAGCTGCTACCTTGACGTAGTGGCTGGATTTGCTTACAGTGATGATTCAGTCGAGTTATACTGGCTGGAACACCAGTTCCTTCAGATTCAAAGGTATCAGGTAGGTCGGTTGGAAAGTAATGAGATGAAATTGACAGACTTAAGGTACGACGGAGAAGTCGTTTTGTCGACTGTATAATCGTATGGAAGTAGTAATGTGTTTCCCTTAGATGACCACTTTTTGTAGCAGTGCTGCCTTTTCACTAAAGAAGGTAACAATTAGAAAATGTAAACCTTAGACATCTTATATCTCATCTTAACCACACAGATTTACGCCACCAGCGGTACGAGCTTTAAATTACTGAGCTAAGTCGTCTAAAACTACCTGAAAAAAGCCCGTGTGTGACCGGCATTAAGCAATTGTTCCATAGAGACTGAGGTTACGATCCTGGGTTGCCAAGATCACTCCTAACCCAGTTTCTTTTCCAGAAGTATCTTTCCATGGTGTAGGCAACCGAAAAAAAGTTGTCCCCATACTCCTAACGGTATGGGGAAAATTTTGTCATTAGTCACAAAATTTATATCAACACAACACAAACAACAAAAGAGGGTAATTGTCAAGATAGAAAGCAAAGAAGTGATACTCATAATAATACAAATCAAACTGATGAACCAATTATTTCGAAGATAGTTCATATCAAAAGAATGAAATCGGTAAATGAGAAGTATAAGACAATGTTTCAAAAGTTATGAATTCAACTTTTACTGAACCCCACGTAATATGAAATATAAATTAGTGAGATAAAAAGTAGAACAAAAGGTTATGAGGAATTCAGAAGCTTAGAATTTGGGGGTGGGAACAAAGAATAAATGCATCTGGGCCATTGCAAACAATTTTGAGTTGTGCCATTCAAAGTCTCTAGCCACTAGCTACAATAAACACACGGAACTATGCATTTTGTCAATTTATATCTCGTTGTACTAATGTAATGAGACAACACTTTCAGTCAATACACATTTGTATTGGACTCAATGATTGTGTTTATGACTAACTTAATGACTGCAATAGAACACAATTTGAATTTGTAATCTAGTAGTTGACATTTAAAGTTAGAATAACGCTAACAACATTTAATAATGAACTTACTGTTTACCACGTGGATAATGTCTTACAAACTCTCCAATATCGTGTACAGCCACAGATAATGTTAATGGATCAGTACCCAGTTCGACTAGTCGTACTAACATTCTAAATGGTGAAAAATCAAGAAAGAATATTCAAATAAAGAATTCATAAACACAAGTAAATTTATAATATGATATCCACAAAAACCCCTTCTGATATTAATCAACATATGCTCACTAGTGAATGGCTTTAACAGGTATTTCCTGGACTTTTAGTGAGAAGCAGTGACCAGTGGAGTTCAACCATGTCTATTACGCGAGAGTTACTCACTGAAGACACCTGACCCAGATGACTTACCTCCGGCTCTTTTTAAAGATGGTGGTGACTCTCTAAGGAATTGACGTTGTTTACAAAGGTTTGGGAACTAGAGAGTGTACCAACGTCATGGAATGAGTCGATAGTTGTCCCTATCTTTAAAAAGGGTTCACGTGTTTTCTGTAACAACTATCGGGGGATAAGTCTACTTCCGATTGCGTCCAAGCTATTGGCTTCCGTCATACTTCGTAGGTTGTTCAAAACCCGAGAAAGATTGACTCGCGAGGAGCAGGCTGGGTTTCGTTCTGGTCGAGGATGTATTGATCATATCTTCACCCTCCGCCAAATGTTAGAACACCGCCATACTTATCAAAGGCCAACAATCGTAGTGCTTCTTGACATCAGGGCTGCCTTCGAGTCGTTGGACAGGACTGTTCTCTGGGATTGTCTATAGAAGAAGGGTGTGCCTGAGAAGTTTATTAACATCCTAAAAGCCCTATATACAAACACCTCAGTTAGAGTGAGGGCATACAACCACCTCTCTCCATTGTTCCACTCGAGCAGTGGGGTTAGGCACGGTTGCCAAATCTCACCATTCCTCGTCAACTTTGCCATCGATGACATTCTGGAAACAGCTCTGATGGATGTAAGTAATGGTGGTGTGGGTCTGTTGCCTGGAAAAAGACTTCTCGACCTTGAGTATGCGGACGATATTGTCTTACTGTGCGATCCTGCTGTAACCTTCTTTCACTTTCTTCCTTAACTGAACGATTTCTTCTGATTGTACCTTTCCGTTCCCCCATTTTTACCATTATTATTACTACACCACCCTACATCAATCTCTTCGTTATTATTCTCTTTTTTTCCTTCCCCTTAATTTCTCATTATTTTGTGTGGCGCATATATATTTGGCGCATTCTTGTACCAATATTTATGTGTACAAATAAATAAATAAATAAAATAAAAACACTGAAGACAGTGGTGGATGTGTCGCTCAATTTCGTGGATTGGTTGAAGTTAGACATTAACTCTGTTGGATACCGGCTCAGTGGTCTAGAGGTTAAGCGCTCGCGCGCAAGACTGACAGGTCCTGGGTTCCAATCTCGAGAAGCGAGATCGTAGATGTACACTACTGAGGAGCCCCACAATGGGACGAAACCGCCATCCAATGATTCCAGGTTTTCTATGGTGGTCTAGCTTTAATTGACTCATGACCTCATCTAATAAAGTTTACATAATTATTGAATGGAATCTATTTCCGATGAACAATGATGTAAGAAAGGCTTTATTTTAAGTGTTTTTTTATTTTGTTAAACTTACTTCAACATTTCATAATTATTATCTGTAAATTTTACTGCATTTTCATACCAAAACTTTTCTGATTTATGAACAGGTGACCATTCTAATCGACCAGATTTTAATTCAGCCATATATTCATCAAGACTACTTACATCTTGAATGCTAGCCGATAATTTCTCCTTGAAAAAAGAACAAGTGAAGTTTAGTAAGAATATGAAAAGTTGATACGACAGTTGATTTTCTTGTTGCAAGAAAACAGTAATTAAGAAGCTAAATAAACGTCAAAAAACCTAATTGAAACTCAAGGTACATGGAATACACATTACAACATTTTAGAGATAAAGCGTAGCAGTATATCATATACAACATAGAATTTAGGGTAAACATGACTGGATGATCATTTCGTCCTAGTATTAGGAATCCTCACCAAGAGCATCCACGATCACGTACGCGGAGCTTGAACCTAGGAACTTCGGTCTCACACGAACCAGTTAGTATGAACCTAATTCTAAATGGCCCAATTCAACAGTTCATGACTTCATAGACTAATAACACACCCGGGTTTCGCCCCAAAACCAGGTATGCATATAACTACATAGTTGGTATACAAATAGTAGTAAAAATATTAAAACCGTTTGACATGAAAACACCCAACAAAGATTGATATAAAGAGCCGATCAGAAGTGACCTAAAGGACAAGTGCATTTCCTTGGTTAAAAAAATGGCTTAGTTTCCTAAGGATTAGAGTATTTGTACATTCAATTTCTGTGGGGCCCGTTATTTTGTCGTCATTTAGATCGGACGATGTTGTTGAAAGGGCTCTCCACTTTAGTGGCCCGGGATCTGACTCCAAGTAGATCGCATGAATGATCGTTGTCGAAACATATATGTCGCCTATCCTCGTGTAAAATCATCGACTTAAATCGCGTTAATCAATAACGGAATTAAATAAGTCAACAAACGAGAATAGACTTTTGGATACATATATTTTGTATATGAAGCGAATGGAACAGAGAGAAGAGAAACGACGCGCAGTGAAGATGGCGGGTAATCCAACTTCCCTTTTAGTCAAGCGTTAATCAATAACTATAGGTATACAAGAATAAGTTACAGACATGTGATGAGTAATGGGATAAGAAGTGTACACACATATATGCACTCATATAAAAAGTCAGGATTGATAAACGAATAATTAACAAGGTCAAAATGTGACTCAAGTAGAATGAATAGATTGGACTGTCTGAAAGCGAGAATAAGATACATGGGCTTAACATAATAACCGACACTACATTTCTCACTCAAGTAGTCAGCTGAGGAGGGGGTGTTAGCACATAGCACACCATATATCAGTATCAAATTTTAGACATCGTCCGTGTTATAACTTGTGAAGTGAATGCTGATTGTATTAGCTCTTTTAATGTTACTTTTTGTATCTGGTCGTCGCTGATTGTTATGTTGGAAACGCTTATCACTTATACTTGGAACGAGGGACCTCTGCAATTCCCACGATGCGAAAGTAAGAACACAAAGACTGGTATAAGTGATGACTTATTAACCCCAAACCAAGACGACGACGATGATGATTCTAGAAGAAAATACACTCATTTGTATATTGATTGTACACCCATTTTGATTAATAATTAGGATGAAATCACATACTGAGCATAGTTCTAATCAATGGAATACAAGAATATCGCATATTATACAGGATAGAATATCATAAGAGAAAAGAAAGCAAATACTGCATTGGGTAATCATTACATTGAATCAAAAACGGGAATAATCTTGAACAAAACTCATAATGAGTAAATTAATCGAAAATGGACTTTTCTTTCCATCATATCAGTCCATCACAACAAAGATAGTATAAGATCTTACAATGAAAGAAAGACTTAACTTACATTTAAGAATGCAATATCTTCAGTTAGTTCAGGATCATGACTAAAATCTTTTTGATTAAGCAATTCTAATTCTTTTAAAACTTTATATTGAACTAAGCGTAAGCCACAATCTCTTTGTTCAGCGTTTGTAGGTAATTTTTCTAAAATACTCTGTAAAAATAGATTTATATGAAAGAGAACAACATTAAGGAAAGAAATAAGTAGATTTTCTTCAAGATTAAATTGGGATTAAACGTTGGGATATGGCTACACTTTACTTTAGCTTAGGCAATTAACTAGTGTAATTGGGGTCGTAAATGTAATGGACATTATAAACATAGAGCGTTAGCTTACCGTACATAGATCCCAACTATTGGATTAAAGTTTGGGATATGGCTACATTTACTTTAGCTTAGGTAATTAACTGGTATATAATCATCATAAGTCAGTGTTTTTTAAACTTGTGATCAGTTATTCAATAACATTATGTAAATAAAACTATATCTGTGGAGCAGAATGCATTGTTCTACAGGGGAAATAGTGAATAGTACATTCTAAGTGAATGTTCTTAGTCACATAAGTGATCGTATGCGACGACAGTTGTGTAATGATGTTACATCCAATCTGCGATGCTTGAACTATGGAAATTAAGAGATATACGTAAAGCAAAAGTACACGATTATCAATGTCTTCGATTCATGGTACATTTTTGGTGATAAATCAATGTCAGTCAGTCAGTCAGTCAGCTACAACGTAGGACCAGGCACATATGTGCATCGATCCAGGTTGCCATACCTCATTAGCACAACAAGATGAACACCGGATTCGTAGGAGTGGTTAGGTCAAAGGTTGCAATAAGGATATAGTATAGGAAGGAAGAATTAGTTCGTAGAAAGAAAGATATGAAGTGATTTTAATCTCTTAGTTTAAGGGAAGACAGGGAGTGTATACACCGACGCCATTGTGATCGATTCTGAGCCATGTCACCAAGAGTCTCCAACCATTGGTTACGAAAGTCACGCGGACCCCAACCAAGTAGTCTGCATCTACCAACATGGCTCAGACTAGAAGTTAGTGACTTCAAGCACTGATGCCACGTTTTGGTTTGGCCGCCCCTAACTTTCTTCCAACCATCCCCTACACCGGTTAGCATTGCACGTCGTGGTAATCGGTGTTCAGGCATACGTAACACGTGGCCCAACCATCTCAGTCGATGAAGATTCATAACTTCATCAACTGATTTACCATCATTCCCTAATACCCTGCGTTGAACCTCACTATTACTTACTCGGTGATCCCAGCAGATGCCAGCAATATTTCTAAGGCATCTGTGGTCAAATACTTGTAGCTTACGGGTGTCTTCTACTCTTAAAGGCCATGTTTCGCTGCCGTAAAGTAAGACAGAACGGACTGCCGCGCAGTATACTCGTCCTTTTATTGATAGACGGATATCTCGCCTTCGCCAGAGGTGACGTAAGTTGGCAAAAGCCAAACGAGCTTTTCGAATCCGTGCTGAGATTTCGTCAGACACCAACCCATTAGGGCTGATCAGACTTCCAAGATAAGTGAAGTTGTCGACGCGTTCGACTACTTCACTCCCTATCCTTAGTTCAGGTGTTGACGCAGACCAGTCCTGAAGCAACAACTTGCATTTAGAGGGAGAGAAGCGCATCCCAAACATTCTGGTATTGTTGCTTTGTGCTACCAGAAGACTCTGCTTTTTGTCAGCGTCTTCACCAAACAGGACTATGTCATCTGCGTATTCTAAGTCGATAAGTGGACCTCCTGGAAGGAGATCAATACCCGAGAATTCAGTCGACGAGAGTGTTATTTCCATCAATAAGTCTATGATGAAGTTAAACAAAAATGGAGAAAGTGGACAGCCTTGACGGACACCACTTGAAGTTGCAAAAGTAGATGACAGTTCGCCATAAGCCCTGACTCGACTAGTAGTGTTCGAGTAAAGAGCCTTCACAAGGTTTATGTACTTCTGAGGTACGCCTTTCAATGACAGACACTGCCACAGAGTCTCGCGGTCTACATAGTCAAACGCTGCTTTTAAGTCAAGAAAGACCACCATCGTCGGACGCCGATAGGTATGCCTGTGTTCTAGAACCTGACGAATGGTGAATATGTGATCGATGCAGCCACGACCAGGTCTAAAGCCAGCTTGGTTCTCTCGAGTTTGTAGTTCACGAGTCTTAGTTAGGCGTCTGATAATTATCGAGGCCAGTATTTTAGATACTATGTTTGTTAAACTAATCCCTCTGTGGTTGTCACAGGATGATTTTGACCCTACCTTATATATTGGGACGATAAGTGATTGCGACCAGTCAGATGGGATAAAGTCTAATTCCCAGATCTTAGCTAAAATATTAGTCAACCTAATCGCTAAAATTGGACCACCATCCTTAAAGACCTCTGGAGCCAATCCATCTGGACCAGCTGCCCTTCCTCGTTTCAGATTAACTATAGCCTTTTGAACTTCAGCGAGAGTTGGGGGACCTACTTCAATGTTTCATTCACATTGTCTGGGAATGGAGAGTAGTTGTAGAGTAGCTGAAGGCCAGCTGAACTGTTCTCTAAAATGTTCCGCCCATCGTTGACGGGGATCCACTCTAGCAGTGCTTGTTCGGCCCTCATGCTTAGTGCTATGCCTACACCTGGCAGTCCACGAGAACTGGCCGTCGGGTCACCAGATACACGAAGGGTGTATCTCGTTGGCTCTCCGTTCTGCCGAGGTGAGGTCAAGTGAATGACCACACTGGGATCCTGTATGCGTGTTTCAGAGACACAGCATACATCAATGGAAAGAGACTCTAGGGTTTTAGCCAAGGAAGCCTGCTGACCGATTTGACATAGAGTGCGTACGTTGAAAGCTCCAATGTGTAGTTTGGAGCGAGGTTTCAGTAGACCTGGGACAGAGTTTTGAGCACTAGAATCGTTGGCTATGGTGACACTTGAGGAGGAAGCCAAAGGAGGAAGTTTAGGGTTGAAAGTCGATGTAGGAGGAATAATAGGAATTGAAGAGGAAGGTTGATTATGAATACAGTGGTCTTGGGTGCTGTTAGAGGTATGAGGGAGGTTATCACTTCCCGGTTGCCCACACCGTGGAAGGGTTCTTCTGGAGGTACCTGAAAAGGAAATTGGATTAGAGGCGGTTTCAGTGACCTGAGAGCGTGACCGCAGTGCCCAAGGGACAACTGCTTGTGGCCGGTCGCGCACGGACTTTTCGTGGAAGGTTTTCGACGTGTTTGCTCCGTTCTTCAAAGGGCCTTACCGCCGGAGACGGAAATCCGTGAGGTAAGGTGAGGTGTGCATTTTTAGGGTCGACCTTTTCTAACCCCACCCCTCCTTGTGGGAAGGCAGCATCGCTGTCATGCTGGTTGTCTGAAGGAAACACCTTACTGCTGTCACACCTCTGTACAGTCAGCAGTACGACTTCGCCTTCGGACCTTGGGTTTGTTGCTTTTAGTCTTACCGCTCTTCAACCGACCTGTCTGACATGGTAGGACCTTGAGGAACGGTTGTTCCAGCCAGTATAGCTCGGTTGCTTCATCACGATAGGCAAGCCCGACCACCACGTCAAGGTAGCAACAACGGTCGGGGATAAATCAATGAATTAGGTAACACTAATTTTAAGAATATGATATTGGATCAAGGTAATAAATAAATCGACGACAATGGGAACTTTTATAAACTGAATTAGCAAGTAGCGTTCACTGTAGTTTGATATCGATTCCTACCACAGCCATTGATATTATTGCTTTCTATCATGTACAACCACATATTTCTACACGGTAAGTAATCCAACTTATGGTAACTATACATATATAGGCCAAAAATGCTGTGGTACGGTCGGGGTGTGTGGAGAGTCAACTCACCATTTCCTAAATGCTCCCACATGACCACGTGCATACAATCACTGACACGAAAGTCATACTCAATGCCTTCTCGCACCACGGGTGTTGTTTACGAGAGAGGACGAAAAGCGAATGTTCGGAGCTTTAACTGGGTTGGTGGACACGTAGGACCGATCTATTAGAGTTGGAATACCCTGATTACAAACCAATACTACACATAAACTACAGTATCCTGAGGGAACAAATGGCATATCAATTTACTGTTAGTCACCAATTACCATGGGACTGCATCTCCTAACATTGCTCCACCGCCCTGTGGATTGGACCTTTGAGTCAAAGGCTCGGTGAGTGGCCACTTAAGAAAACCACGTGTTTCGGTATGGGCGATCGAGCAGTACTCCAGCCCTCACACAAATCGAATGATTTATGTGGCGCATATATATTTGTTGCCTGTTTGTAGCAATATTTATGCATTTAAATGAATAAATGATAACTATAAGAAATTATACTGTGACATTTCTGTGTATTAGTTCGTTAATGCAATTTTCATATAGCAATATTTGCTTTTTAATAAAAGCGAATTTTGTCAGCTACGATAGAAGAATTGTAAGAGAAGCATGATTTTGTACGAAAAAAAAAACATTTTGAAGCATACACTACAAAATAAAGCCTAGAATTTATTTTCATTGTTCTTCCGAACAACATCATCAGCACAGACTATACAAACTTCTACCTGAAGTTTGTGCTGATGACGTCATTCAGAGGAACGATGAAAGCTCCACGACTAAATCATCCAGCTCAGAGAACAAAACTCCATCAAAATCATCCACCTGTGGTGTTTATGTTATTCGTACTTATCTCGTCAAGTTATATGAGAAATAGTACTTTTTACAGAGGTGGATACTCGCACTACTTGAAATTTGATTTCATGAAACAATGAAACTTTCAAAACACAACTCTACGATATATGCCGCAAATATGTACTACTATACACTTATAGAGCAAAAAAACTACATAGCAACAATAAGATACTATAAATTAGTCAGAATCAACTAACTTACACGAAAGAATGCCAATGAAATTCTAGTGATTTTTTCTCGATCTGCTTCAAGGAAAATATCAGCTACAGTAGCCAATAATGCAGAATTCTTACATATATCAGTTACATGAATTGAATCAAAACTCATACACCATAAGCAAAAAATTAACTGATATTGTAACTGACGACTAGTTGATTTTTCTTGTAAAACATCTCCAATGCTTTATAAATGAAAAAGACAAATCTAATCAAAATAATTAATACTAAACAATGATGAAAATGGATTTAATTATGCGAATTCAAAACGAGAGTTTACAGGGGTATATTCGATGGAAAAGAAAGGTAAATGAGATAGTTAGTCAGTCAGCTACAACGTAGGACCAGGTACATATGTGCATCGGTCCAAGTTGCCATACACCATTAGCACAGCAAGATGAACACCGGATTCATAAAAGTAGTTAATTCAATGGTAGGAATATATAAAAGAAAGATTGCATATAAGGACATAATACAAGAAGAAAGAATTAGGTGGTAGAAAGATATGAAGCGATTTTAATTTCATAGTTTAAGGGGAGACAGTGTATACACCTACGCCATTGTGATCGATTCTGAGCCATGTCACACAGTCTCCAAACATTGGTTACGATAGTCACACGTACCCCAACCACGCCGTGTGCATCTACCAACATGGCTCAAACCAGAAGTTAGTGACTTCAAGGACTGATGCTACGTTTTGGATGAGATAGTAAAATATCTTAGTAAGATTTTTATTATTTTATTTTATTTGAACACATATATATTGGTACAGGAGTGCGCCGGATATATATGCGCCACACAAAGTGGGAAAAGTGGTCGTAAAGTGTATACAAGAAACGGATTAGTGGTTATTATAACTGAAAAACACATCGCAAATAATTCATTGAGGAATCGAAAAACTACTTTTAAGCAATTGCTCTTAGTTTCAAATATGACAGGATAACTTCTAGAAATAACGTAAGGCATCTTAATTAGTAACAATAATCAGTTCAATTATGTAGTTGATACAACTCACTAGCCAAATGCAAACGTGACTATCTATTGAGTTGACATATCTAGTTAGCAATATACACCTAGACTCCTTAATATTTACTACATCATACCATCATGCGCATGGAATCACCCAAAGATATGTATGAATTAAATAACTAGCAAACGATCAATGCTTTCTACTTTCATAGAAAACTCTTAAACAAAGTACACAATTTGGTATGTAGATGGACATTTCATCTAGAACACAGGTAGAATGAAATGGGGAAACTTAAGCTTGATTTTTACCTCCTTCCAGAAGTAACAACACTTTCAAAGTAAATGACATGGTGATGCCCTTGACTATCACTTGTTTTGGGTGTCTTTATTGTACTAGATCCACACTTTGAAAACTTGCTGCCAACTCCAAAAATAAGTGAATCAAAGAAAGGATATTTAACAGCCGTCCTTTTCCTAAATCACCTTTTATTTGTGATAGGACATAACTACTGATAATATTAGCCGTTTTTGCGGCATAACTAAAACTAATGAAGCAGGCAATGAAACTAAGCCCTCTAATCTGAAAATTGCTGCCTTTGATCTTAGTAATCGTCAAGTGACCCATATAGCATGGCAGGATTTTAATAAATGTCCCAACCAATCTTAGTTAGGATGCTACGAAATACAAAGTTGATCACTAGATAAAGGTGATCACTAGACAGTTAGAATCCAGTAGAAACAAGATAATAGTTTGAATGAGATCACTAGTGTTAGCGGGACATAGACCGGATTGAAGCATGCTCAATGCATGATTGCTTTGGTGCACGCTGATTGGCTAATTCTTATCCAATCAGCACTGGTCGATAGTTGGAGAAGACTAGAATCTTCTTATGTAAAAACTATAAATATACTGACGTTTTCCCTATTGTGCTTCTGACTTGCTATTTGGAATATAATCTCTTTCCTGTTCAACCGTGTTCTGATTTGGGGACTTGTCGAGTGAATCGGTGTCCGAGAATACTAAGCAATAGGAATAGCTGGGTCATAACCGTAAGAAGAAAGAAATTACAACAACTAGAGAATATCAACTAGCTGAAATCCACGAAAAACCAAAACATGGCCTGTTAACGCCTATAGCTGATATAAAAACAATCCATGGGAAGTAGAGATATCGAATAGGACTCAGGAAACGTTATTGGATCGTAGATGCAGAAACATTTAGATCAGCAAAGATAATCTCAATCACTTTTACTAAAATGAAGATAATATCGAATTCAGAGATAAAAACAAGGTTAACGTGTCACATTTCAACCCAAACTAGCTGTGTTAAGATGAAGGATAACAGGCAGTTCATACAACAGAATTGGTTTTAAGTTTATGATCCAACTGCGGATGTTCGAAAAGTCCGAAATGATGAATAAAAGATTCAAATCCAAAAATACATGGATAGTTTTCAGGTAGTTGTATACTGGTTTGCAAGAGACCGAAACGTTTATTTTAGCTACTCAAAACCTTAAACATGTGTGCTTTAAAACGAAATGAATTATCATAAAGTACTGTTAACAAGTCTCTGATCTTCTGGAAGACGTTGTTACTTCGCCATAAACAGACTTGGCTTTAAGCTATGCTGTGTGAGGGACAGTGTAATTACGAACGTATCCAGGCCGAAGTAAATGAAAGGTGATTCAAACTTGGAGCTTACTGGTTAAAAGTTAAGTGCATTTAACATAGTAATTAACCATTAAACAGATTAAATACATTCAGAAACTTCCTAGAAAGCTCGTCTTTCTGTAGAATAAAACTCATGAAACATATAAGAAATAGAAAATTTTTCATACAAGCAGTAACAAAGAATGAAACACAAACGTACGTCTCGATTCCTCCGACTTTAGCGAATTGAGCACGGTACTCTCTGATACGAAGCATCATTTGAAGATTTCGAGCCACAGTTTGATCATACTGATTATTCTGTAAAGAATAAGAAAAACAACCATTAGCTCAATCCGGTAGTCAGGAAGGATTTTAATTTAATATGTAACGATGAATATAAAACACGAAACGACGCGAATTATTTACAATGTACAGGATTATCTTGGCTTTGGGTCCAACTGTTGGCTATACGGTTAGTGAAACTACCTGACTGTTAGAACTGAAGTGGGTGTTGTGTGACACGAAACATGAACATAAATGTACAATATACATTACGATGGATACATCCTCCTCTATCTGCAACAAACAGATACAATCTGCCTTTAAACCATCACTGCCCCCCAATGCCCTGGTACGGTCGAGAGTGGGGAGAGTCAGCTTTTCCTCTCCAAATGCTCTCAAGTGACCACGTGCATATATCCACTGACACGGAAGTAGTACTCATTACCATCTCGCATTACGGGTGTTGTTTACGAAATTGAGAGGAAGAAAAGCGAATGTCTGGCACACTAACCGGGTTGATGGATATAGAGGATCCACCTAGGGAAGTTGGAAAACCTAGATTCCAAACCAATGGTGCACATGGACTCCAGTATCCTGAGGGAGCAAATAACGTATGGACCTATTGCTAGTCACCAACTACCATGAGACTGCATCTCCTGACGTTACTCCACTCTCTTGTGAATCAGACCTTCAGGTCGAAGACTCGAGGTGTGGTCCCCTAAAAAAATTAGCTGCTCCGGTTTGGGCACCCGGGCAGTATCCCAGTCCTCACATAAATCGAATGATTTATTTGGCTCATATCTATCTGGTGCCTCCTTGCACCAATGTTTATGTATTTAAGTAACAATAATAAAGTATTACTGAAGGAGGAATTAAGATAAAAACTTAAAAATAAGGAGACTACAAAACTACTGTTTTGTTGTGATCGATGATAGGAGTTAAATAAACGAGTAGTCTAAATGTTTGTTTCAGAGATTATAGTAATGAACGATTTGTAAAACTGCACCAATATGAGGTTTTTGGTACAAATGCATCATAGACCCTTACTTTCAGTAATTTTTAATTATTCTACACCAAAACTGATGGCTTGTCATGACCATAAGTTCTCATGATACACAGGTTTTCCAACCACGTGATTAACTGTCGGAACATACAACCAGAAGTGGTTTCCAGACTTTCAATCACCTATTCAGGAGGTTAGACAAAAACAGACTTCCTAGAATAGGAATAACACAGGCTCCTGAACTTATATTCTCAAAGTGTAAGTTTTAACCTGATGTATAATAGCTTTGATAACTTGGATTATAGATTTATATACCAGATTCTATGGTGCAGTCTAAACGGAACTACGGGAGCAAGTGACGAATATTTATAGACGAGCTGAAAAGTCAAAAATTAGCTTAAGCTTTAGAGCAAAATATTGTGTACACCTGATACTCTCTGAAGTGAAAAGAAGCTTACGGTTATTGTCAGTTGTTCACGTAGCCAATTTAAATAATAAATCAAGTCATTTTCCTCCATAAGTTGGGAAGACCAACATGCAAACTTTGCAATTATCCGGGAAGCTTGGTACATACAGAAAGGATCCCCTCTTTGGAAAAATCCGAAAAAATGAGACCAAAGTGATTCTTTTGACTTGGAGAAGTAATCACGAAAGATTTCAACACGTAATTTGTCTTCCTAAAACTCAATGGCTGAAGTAACAACATACCTGAAGCATATCATCAATAAGTGTAAGGATATATCGTAATGTTTGTTCTTTTGAGATTTTATTTAGGATAAATATAAAAACCCTAGCGGTCTTTCGAACAATAAGGGCTGAAAAGCCCACTTACCATGTTTTCATCAGCCCTTATTACATGATTTCGTGCTTCCGCAGTGGGAGCATTATCAAGTCGTGTTATGAATGAATACTGCTCATCATTAATTATTTGTCCTCTGAAACCAAGTTGTACATCCACACATCTAAGAACTTACTGAAGGTAAGATTGCCAGTTTACTCGTGTTGATCTAACCTCAGCTGCTGTGGCCTGTAGAAAGCTAGTGGTTGAACCGACTAGATGTAAGTTAATGTATGGGAATGAAGCTACTTGACGTGATATCTTCAATATTACCAACGCGAGCGTATTCTAACGACATCCCTGAAATTTCAAAACAGCCACCAAAATATTCAAAATTTCAAATATGAAGCAGATATGCTAGAAAGAGTCCAACGACGAGCTACTAAGATGGTACAGGGTCTATCTGGCCTATCTTATGAAGATAGACTGAGACACCTTAACTTATTTCCGTTATCTTACCGTAGAGTACGGGGTGATCTAATATTGGCTTATCGTATACTGAACGATGACCTTGGTATTAACAAATGGTTCAAATGGTTGTGGACGGAATAGAAGAAGCTTTCGCTTAACAGGCTTCCGTGTCTAGTAGCAGGGGATCACCAAATCCTCCAGGCAGGAACCTAGGTATGTTAACAATAAAAGAGGAAAAGAATTAATAAATCATAGTGTGATGCTGTCTTTGGTCCTTAGGAATAGGTCAAGTTGCCTCTTAAAGGACTCCTGAGAAGTCGATTGGACTAGCTCGGCCGGCAGCGAATTCCAGCTTTTGACAACTCTTAAGGAGTAGAAGTTGTGTCTACATTCCGTCTTGCTATGTTGTGTTTCCAGTTTCTGGGTGTTACCCCTTAGGTTATTATTCGAACTAAGCTTAAGTAGGTGTTTAAGAGGATGTCCAGAAGTGTTAAGAATACTATAAGCCATTAATAAATCACCTCTAAGACGCCTATATTCTAATGGGTAAAGATCCAGTGAACGGAGGCGTTCTTCGTAAGGCTTAGATTTGAGTCTTCGAACTGATTTCGTGGCTCGCTGTTGGATACACTCCAAAGTGACCTTGTCCTTTTGGAGTGAGGGGGGAGTACTATGTTTCCGTACTCTAAATGGGGACGGATGAAACTATTGAAGATTGTGTGGAAAGTTCTTCCATCAAACTGGCCAAAAATGCGCCTCAACGTTACCAGTGCAAGGTTTGCTCGGAAGGCATTTTTGTCACAGTTAGTGTAAGACTTCAAATCATGGGGCACCAGGACTCCTAAATCTTTTTCGACTTGGGATACTACTAGAGAGGAGTTTCCTAAGTTGTAACTGTATTTTGCGACATGTCGCAGATGGACTACTTTACACTTTGAAGTGTTAAAGGTAAGTCCGTTATCGTCTGCCCAACTTTGAAGTCGCGTCAGATCCTCCTGAAGTGCCTGTGTATCGTCTTGGTTGCGTATCTCTCTCCAAAGTTTCACGTCGTCGGCAAAAGGTAATAAGTCTGACGTTACCTGTTGAGGAAGAACATTTATGTAGATCAAGAAGAGAAGAGGCCCTAGTACTGAGCCCTGGGGGACCCCACTGGGACATTCCATAGCTTGAGATAAAGTGAAATTAACCCTAACCTTAAAGTGTCGATTTTTTAGGTATGAAGCAAGCCAATCGATCAGAGGTGGTTTGATACCTAGTCGTTTGAGCTTATTGATAAGACACAAGTGGTTAACCTTATCAAAAGCTTTTGAGAAATCAAGGTAAATGACATCAACCTTTCCCTTGCAATCGAGGATGCTTGTCCATCTGTCCACCGCAGTCAGCAGGTTGGTTATACAAGAGTAACCCTTCCTGAAACCATGCTGTTGGGGTGAGAAGAAATTTAAGGACAGTAGATAGTCATTTAAACCATCGCATATCAGGAACTCCATGAGTTTTGAAGGTAATGACAGAAGAGCCACCGGCCGATAACTTGAAGGTTCATTGCGTCGACCTCCTTTGAAAATTGGTGTGATGTGAGCCAACTTCCAATTTTCCGGTAATTTGCCTCGGCTAAGCGAGTGTGAAAACATCACGCTAAGCGGCGTTGCCAGGATTGAGGCTGCCTCCCTCAGCATGACAGGATGAACCATATCCGGTCCAGGAGAAGTGTCAAGTCTTAAGTGCTGCAATTTCCGGAACACCAAGTCAGCGCTTAGGTCCACTTCAGAAAGTCCTGTGGAACTGCAGATGAAACTGTCGTCAATAAAGTTGATGTCAGCCAGTTGAAATGTTTGAGAGTAATGTGCCGCCAGAAGGTTAGCGGCGTCGCCATCGTTGTTGGTCGGGCCGTTAAGACCTAGCAGTTGAGAAACTCCTGTTTTGGCTTGACGAAGAGAGGCTGCATAACGGAATAGGCTTATAGGGTTAGAGGCGAATTTGTCCATAAGCTTTGTTTGGTACTGAAGCCTGTCTTCTCTTATAGCCTTCGTGCATATGTTCCTGATATGTTTATATTGCCTATACGCTCCATCGTTATTAGTTCGTTTGTATTCCGCCCAACAGTGCCTTTTGCGGCTTAGCAGGCGAAGGGTACGGTTCTTGAATACTGTAGGTGGCTTGCAGCTTTTGGGAACCGTTTGAGGAACTGAATGGTCTGTAGCACATAAGAGCGTGTGCAGTAAGAAGTCCCAATGACCATCCACATCGAGTTGAGGGTGAACATCCCAAACCACCTGTTGTAGATAGTCATGTAGAGCTGGCACATTCAGCCGTTTAGAATTCCAACGCAAATTATTGTTGGGATACCTTGGCTTAGTTTTGCTGACAAAACTGAAGGCTATGACGGCATGATCGCTCTTTCCCAGAGGAGCCAGGATTGAGAGGTTGTCGACTAGGAATTCTTCGTTAGTGAATACACAGTCTAAGCGCGATGGTGTATGACTGTTTCTCCAACGAGTTGCCGACCTCACATTTTCATATAAGCCCAAGTTATCGATGAGGTTGAAGAACCGAGCTTCAGTTGAGTTGTCGCCTCCAGTGTACGTGTGTTCCGCGAAGTTGACTCTAGGGAGATTAAAGTCCCCTAGAATCAGGATGTGTGTGAAACCGAGACGGATAGAGCGGGATAGTCCTTCCAGCATACGACTATCGTACTCGGTGTCGGCAGTTGGCTTCCTGTAAATGACTCCGACTAGACACCTGGAAGTACTAGACAATCTTACAGAGCACCATATGGATTCCTCAAGATTGTTAAACTCGAGGTTGTGAACCTGGTGCACCTCCAAGCAAGAGCTTATGTATATGGCTACTCCGCCCCCAATTCCTGTTTTTCTGTCGTTGCGGAACAAAGTCATCCCAGGTAATGCTAACTCTTGGTCCGAGAACTGAGAAGATATCCAGGTTTCAGATATTCCTATCAGATGGGCCTTATTAGCGTTGCTAAGTTCACGTAGTTCATCCAGTTTGTTTGGTAGACTCGCGGCGTTCATATATAAGCAGTTTATGCTTTCAATTTGGAACGCGTGAGCTTCGTCCTGTTTTTCTGTATGAACCTTATGTGAATGGACAGGTAGCCCACCTATATGAGGTTTGCCGAGGTGGTAGGCCCTGTCCTTTACACGTTTTTTTATCGTTTAGACAGTCTACAAGTGGAATGGTCAGCTCCAACTTGCCTTTGTTCTTGGTCCTGACTTCGTATGGCCTATCCGGGTGCATGTGGATTCCAGGTGGCAATCGACGTCTATTAGCACGAAATGCTTCCAGAACTGCAGCCGCCATGTGGGAAGATGGGAAGGTTATCTTCATTAGACGGGGTCTAAGATCACCGTCTGTCTTGGCTAGTCTCGTCACATGCTGAGTCAGTATGTGTTTGAGCCTCAAGGACTGTTTGATGAATTTCCATTCCCTGATGTCAGAATTTGATTGAGTAGGGTCTGCATTTTCCGGTATACCTTGAACAATTATGTTTCTTCCGCGGAAAAACTTCTCGCGAGATTCTTTAGGGATGTTTCGTATGATATTGCGCTCAGAGTACGGTATGTCGGGCAATATTCTTACGTTACCATCTGATTTTAGCAAGTGACTTGCTAGCAAGATGTCCTCTACGTCGGTAGCTTTCTTAAGTGTTACTCGGAGAAGCCTCGGGTGATTTAGATGCTTAGAATCCTTTCCTCGAGTGAGCCGGGTGACCGTCAAAGGCTCTATTCTAGGAAGTTCGAGCTTCTTGTTCAATTCACCCCAGAGCATCCTGTCGTTTTTGTCCTGCAGACTGAGAGGAAGGCCAGGATTATCAACGAGGTTCATGATAATGAGAGAATCGTCACGAACTGTTGTTAATTTACCAGGTTTCACGATGGGTTCAGGTTTAATAACTTGTTGTTTGGAGGTCAGTGTGCGTTTTTGAGTCTTGGGCTCTTTATTAACCGGACGAACAGTCTTGGGGGTAGACTGTGCGACCAAATCCCCACTTATTTTCCTTGCAGCAACACTTAGGTTGCTCGGCTTAGGCGGTGATGCCTAGTTCTTTTGGGCTCTCTTAACGTGGGTCGAATCACCTACAGGGTTTTTGGGAACCACTGTTGTGTTCAGGGACCCTGAGCTGGGAGACCCGAGTTTGCATAGGGAGTCTAGTACCGTCGACGTGATGATGGTGCTGAGCCTCGATACGTCGTCATTAGTGTTGATGGATGCTCCATCGATGGTATACCTATCGACATCCCTATTTTTGAGTCCGTCGCACGCTCTTGTTTGTCGACCGGTTTTTTTACTATCGTTAACCAAGTTGACTGACAACTTGTTCCGAAGACCTGTCAGTAGGACAATGATGTTGCTCAGCAAGACCACTGCGTCCGTGCTGTACGTGACACATACCCACTTTTGGTCTGACTTGCTGAGTCTGTTGTAAGAAGTTGGTGTCAGATCTGTGCATGCTTCGTGGAACCAACCTTTGCAGTTGTCGCACTGGATGCCAGTTGTGACAGCAAAACGGCATCCCGGACGTTTGCATGAGTTTTTCATGACAGTGTTGAAGCAAACTATGTTATAGATGCTTGCAAGAGCCTAAGACCTTTTTAAAAAAACACTAAAAACCACACTGAAAACGGATAAAAATGGACAAAACGAGTGATATAAACTGAAACTAGTCTATACGTGAGAAAGAAAAAAAAACCGAATAGTAAGCTGAGGCAAAACCACAGGTAACTATTAAATATAGTGAAACTCAAAAAAAAGTAATCTACCGAACGTATAGCTCAGGATAGATTCTTTAAAACTGAAATGGTACTTTTGTTGCGTAAGAACACAGCAATAGTTTGATAAATGCAAATCACGTTAGGACTAAACTTCCCG